GACGACGACGACCTCATCCTCGTCGACCTGCTCGACGGCGCACACCTCCCCACCAGGGAGCACAACCAGCCCCGCGCGCACGGCCTCATGTCCGCAAACTCGGATAGCATCATCTCCCTCCCGCCCATGGATGGCCGCGCCGCCTCGTGGGCCGAGATTAAGGCCCACACCCAGAGGGACAGACGCTTGAGGAGGGCCAGTCATTCCATTGGCGGCTTTAATGTCCCCGACTATATGCGGGCCTTGCGCCGCCCGCGTAGCCCCGCCCAGACTGCAGAGCCGCCGGCTCAACGCGCGCCCGCGGCCCCGGGGAGGCTGCCGAGTATTGCAGAGTCGCAGTCGACGAGGGACCACCATGCCGCGCCCCCTGTGCACCTCGTCATGCCCGTGTCTGAGGAAGGCCCCGCGCAGGAAGTGCGTCCTGTCACCCAACTTCCGAGGCCGAGACAGCCAAAGGAACACCTCCGCGACCGCCACGTGCCGGGTAAATCCCGCTCCGCGTCGAGGGTTCGCCCGACCCCGGATCGACTGCGAGATGCAAATCTCGCCCCTGCTCAGGGAGAGAATTCAAGCCTGCTGGGGGGGCAGCGCGATCCCGTTAACGTGCCCCACCATAAGAGAATACGTACCACCCGCGGAGGCTCGTTTCATATCCAGAGGGATATGTTTATGGTGGACGACAGCGGGGGGCATAGTACCAGCACTGGCGACGCGTCGAACAAGACCCCCCGCCATGACACGGGAGGGAAGAAGCGACGGAAGGGACGCCGTTCCATGCACAGGCACAGGCGCGACTTTCGCCCTGGAGCTTGGGGCTGGCGTATGCCGGCAGAGGAAGATGTTGTCATGCCCAGCGGTTCGTGGATTTACCTGCCGTTGATAGGCATGCTTACCTTTGTCGTCGCCCATTCGGTCAACACCTCGGCCCACTTCATTGCCAACTCTGTCATAGCCCCGTTGGGGAAGGCAATAGGCAGAGGCTTGGGCGGAACTGCCGCCATGTGGGCAACCGGATCGTTGCGGGGACTTTCGCTCGCGATAAGCTTCCTCCTGGTCTTCTTCATATCCCCACAGTACTCTGCGGGATCGGGCATCCCGGAAATGAAATGCGTGCTCAGTGGCGTCTTCATGCCCAAGATGTTGAACCTGAGGACCTTGTTCGCCAAGACAGTCGGCCTCGCTTTTTCCCTCGCGAGCGCCATCAGCATTGGCCGCCTGGGTCCCTTTATACACATCAGTGGCATCATAGCCGCCTTGGTGTCCAAGATTCCGTGGTTCAGCGCACTGCACAACAGCGCCCGCTTCCAGCTACAGGCCCTTAGCGCCGCGATGGCCGCGGGGGTTGGCGCAACGTTTGGGGCACCCATCGGTGGCACTTTACTTTCCATCGAGGTCATGAGCACGTATTATTATGTGCATTGGCTGCCGATGGCTTTGTATTGCTCGGTCATGGGCTACTTTTTGGTCGTCTCGCTTGTCCAAGTAGACAAGCGTTCCTTCTTCCCTGTCAGCGCTGACATCGGCTTTAAATTCACCTCTGGGAAGCGCCTTTTGTTGTACATTGCGCTTGGAGCCGTTTGCGGCGTTGTCGGCGCTGCTCTGGTCCAATTCACCCGGGCAGCATTCAATTTTCGCCGAAAATACTTCACAAACGCAACGCCCGTGCGGACGACGCTCATGGTCGCTTGGTTTGCCCTGTTCCATACTTTGGTCGTGGCCTCTTTTGGCGGCATCATGGCCATCCCGCAGAGGACTGGGGTAGGTGAACTCTTCAGCGAAAGTGAGGGCGTCGTCCCCTGGCTCAGCATGAGCTGGCGGCCTTTTGAAACCGAGAGATGGAACTCCATTTCCGTGCTCTTCCTCTCCTTCGCAGTGAAATTCGTGCTCACTGGACTCTCCCTTATCATGCCTGTGCCAGCAGGAACGTTTATGCCCATTTTCGAAACGGGGGCGTTGCTAGGGAGAGTCTTTGGAGAGTTTTGCGGCTTTTTCGCCTTCATGGACTGGGTTGATCCCAAAGTGACGGCCATCATCGGGGCTGCAGCGCTGACTTCGGGTGCGCTCCACACGACCTCAGTGGCAGTGGTGATGCTTGAATTGACACGGGAAGCGATCGATGTTCTTCCATTGGCCGTGGGTGTCCTTGTGTCGTACGGGGTCTCAAAGCAGCTCTGTTCGGATTTGTTTTCCGAATTCATCAAGATTCGGCGACTCCCATTCATTTTGGGACTGCGTGAGCGATACCCCTCGGAGAACCACCAGTTCTACGAAGACGTGTCCACCGTGGTGGCTGGCTCTTTCATGTCGACTGACTTTCCGTATGTGACTCCCTTCTCCACGAGAGGAGAAGTGCTTCAGATGCTGACGGTGCGACGCAAGCCATGGATCACGTGCGCGTTCCTGAGCGACGACAGGGACCGGTGGCTTTGGGGCACGATCACGCAAGAAAATTTGTGGAAGGCGTTGGGCAATGACGGCTTGAGCTCGTCTGAGTCGTTTGACGAAGAGCAGGGGTACGGGTCGGTGGGACGTGGCCAAGGCAGTGCAACTTCGGAAGAGGATTACATCCCGTTGCTGAAGAATTTTGATCCGACAGTGGGGTCCCCGTTGGTCGACATGGGCCCGATGCAAGTGTCGCACAGCACGCCATTTTGGAAGATTGTGACACTGTTCCGTATGCTGTCCATGAGCACGATGTACGTGATGAAGGACGGTGTGACGGTCGGGTGCGTGAGCAAGGCGCAAGTTATCTCGCACTCGATCCACATCGAGGACCGTGCCAAGCGAAAGCGGGAGCGGGTGCGGCAAGCTCAGGCGCAGCGGGTTCGCGACGAGAGGGAGCTATTGCGGCAGCTTCAGCGTGACCCGCAGACGTCGAAACGACTGGCGTCGCGCATGTCTGGGCAGGACCTTGTGAATATGTGCTCGGCCGCGAGTGCGGGGAAGAGGAGTGGGCACGGTAGTTTTAGCAGTAGAAGATAGAGATTTTTGTCTTGTGTATTTTTATACTATCGAGAAGTGTGTTTTTTTTTTTTGGTAGATAGAGTAGATGGCTAAAGAGTTTTGAGACTAACTTCTGATCTGAAGGCACTGCAGCCAGAGTCTGAAACTGGAGTGTGGAGGAGAAATATCGTTTGGTAGAACGGGTAGATGCTGAGAACGGGAGTGAAAACGAGCAGGGATGTTGCCGTTGTGCGAGTGAATGAGAACATGTTTGCTGAGATTAGCAATGTGACGTGTCAGGGAGAGGGAAGCAAGTGGTGCACGGATCGATAGACGACAGTGAAAAAAAAAAGGTTGAACAGAGGGGCAATGGGAAGGCACGTGTATCAGGTGGGTAATATCAGGTGGGTAATATCAGGTGGATAATATCAGGTGGGTAATATCAGGTGGATAATATCAGGTGGGTAATCGGTAAGCTGCATCGGCAAGCGGGACAAAGAGCTGGGCACCAACGGTTGTCGTTTGTACAGTTTACTGTCGCCTTCGATGGGAGTGGAACAGTGATCTACACTACTATACAAAGATTAGGAGTGGACAAAAAAACGCCCACACACACAGCAAAAGCAAGCACGATCGGCGAGGGCCTGTTCCAAGAACGCAGCGCCCGTCAACGCGCGGTCGGGCTCCAAGACCGTCAGTAACACGAACAAGTTAAACAAAAAAAAGTAGCTCACGGGTCGAAAGCGCGCGCCCCTACCGCCCCCGGAGTGTGACAAGGACGACGGCAAAGTCATCGCCAGGCGCGTCGCTCCTCCTTTTCGCGAGCCTGAGCAGCTCCTCACACGCGAATTGCAGCGAAGTCTCCTGCTCGAAGCACTCTCTCACGCGATCGACGGCCTGCTGCGGCGACACGCCGCCATGTGCGTCCCACAGGCCGTCGGTAGCAAGGATGACGAAATCGTCGTCGCCCTCGAGGCGGACCTCGCGCACGTGCGGCTCGGCCACGACGCCGAGGCTGCGGCAATCGAGGTCGCCCAGCGCGCGGGTGATGGAAATGGCCTTCCCCCACGGATCGCCGTTGCTCAGAAAGCCGTTGAGCACGACGCCGCCCACGGCCTCGACGCGCGCGCGCTCCTCCGCGTCGGTCAGGCGGTGGTCGCGGCTGACGACGCGGGCCT